GGTGGAATCATCTCTTCTATTCATGCTTTCAGGTCTTTTTTCAATCTCTATGGCTTCTCTGATGATTCTGTGGCTAGGGTTTTCTATAGTGGCTAGGGTTTTGGTGCCATTGAAGTTGATGTTATGACCTGTGGCTTCCATGTGTTGGACTAGTGAGGAAGTGTGTTCCAGCTTTTTGACTGCATTTTTGTGTTCATCCAGGCGGGTACTTATTCTTCTATTGGTCTGTCCAATGTATGTGGCTGGGCATGATGCACAGGGGACTTTGTATATGCCTTGGTTTTCCAGGTCAATTTTATCTTTGGGGTTGCTAAGGATGGCTGCTATTTTTCTGTCTGTTTTGAAGGCAGTCTTGATGTGATGTCTGTGTAGTACCTTACTAATTTTGTCTGTAGTACCTCTTATGTAGGGCAGGACAGCTGTTCCATAGGTCTGTTCATCTTCTGGGTCTCTATTATGTCTCAGTGTGTTTTTGTGGATCAAGCTGGTGATTTTGCTTTTGTGGAAGCCGTTGGCTGTCAGTACTTTAGTCAGGGTGCATAGTTCAGTCTTAATGTGTGTCTTGTCTGCCAGGCGTTTGGTTCTGGTAATTAGTGTTTTAGCCACGGAGTTTATCTGTGCTGGGTGGTGGTGGGATTGGGCGTTGAGGTAGCGGTTAGTGTGTGTTTTCTTCTGGTATACGGTGTGTCCTAGTGTGCCATCTATTTTTTTGTAGATTAGTACATCTACGAATGGTAGTTGTTTGTTTGTTTCCGTTTCCATGGTGAACTTGATTTTGGGGTGTGTGCTGTTTAGGTGTGTTAGGAAATTGTTTAGGTTTTCTTTTCCATGGGGCCAAATCACAAATGTGTCATCGATGTATCTTAACCATGCTTTTAATACATTTACAATCAGGTATTTCAATTCTTTACTATATATTTCAGGTAAAATTCCCAGTAAAAATATCTCTGGTTTCAAGTCTATATGCTTTTTTGTCATTTTTTCCAACCATGTGTGGATTTTAGTCCAATATTTTTTGGCATCTGCACAAGTCCACCACTTATGGTAATATGAGCCAGGTACTTGATGACATTTCCAACATTTTTCAGATTTATTCTTAAACATTCTTGCTATTCTTGTCGGGGGGGAAATGCCACCTGTAAAACATCTTATACAAATTTTCTTTATACGCTGTTGACAATGTCATTTTATAATTTTGAGACCACAATTTTTGCCATTTCTCAAGATCAATCCCATATCCAAAATTCTTCCCCCAAGCAATCATTGTTTCTTTAACTTGTTCTTCTAGTTTAATTTCTAATAGATATCCATACAATTTTTTAATCACCTTTTCATCAGTACCTGTCAAAATCTTATCTAAATCAGTCAATTTATCATAGAAACCTTCTGTTTTAGCATCTTTATCATACCTTGAATGTATTTGCGCATATGAAAACCAATTCATCTTTATACCTCGTTCTTCTAATTTTTGCATAGATTTAAGTTCACCCTTAAAAGATATAAAGAACTTTTAATTAAATCAATGAATTGTTATTCTAAATTGCAAAGGATGTGATATTAGTATGAATCCATCTATTGAATCCTGACTAAGCATAAATTTCCTTCATTTGTAGGCATGGATATTTACACAGTAGAATTTGCAATTAGTAAAATATTTGTTTGTGTGCATAACATAAATTGAAAGAGGGAAAGCCCTATTTGAACTATTGATTTGCTGTGGGTAAAATTGCAATCATATATGCTAAAGGAAATGTTTGGGAAAGTTTTCAAAAAAATCTTTCCATCAGTAATCTGGGGCAGGAAATGAATAGAGGAATATAATTTGAAATCCTAAATGTGAGGTGAATAAAGGTCATATTCTGATTGCATTGTTGCAGTGACACCTACTGTAAATGTAGCAACCAAATGTAACACTATTATATCTATTTAAATCCCTCCTTTTAATATTACAAGTGGATTCTTCAACAAAATGTTGCAGTCCTGTTTGAGCCTGCTCTATTCTATCCTCATCTCCAATTTTCTGTTTCCCCTCTTCAAAAATTACTGAGCATTCTCAGTTTGTTCATTTCTCACTGAACTGTTTTTGAAATCTCCGTTTCTTAGAATTTATTTAAAATTCTGCAAGCTTCAGGATTCATCTAAGTCTGTTGCTTCTTTTGGTTACAGAAAAAAAATCATAAAAATTGAATTGGATGCTTTCAAAATGGTCAAGTAATGTAAATGAGTACCTGTATAGAGGAATAAGATAACATGATTTATCTTGCAATTGTATCCACATTTTTGCATGCAAACTGAATTTTCTCACAGTACTTCTCAAAACTAAATTAAAATGTATCAGAAACTTCTTAAATCAATCGTTTCAGTCTCAAGAGCCATGATGCATTACTTTTTTCATTTTACAATTTTTTTTCATTGACAATAAAGTCTGTTTCCAGGACAAATAATATACACGTAGTGGAGGAAGACTAACTTGTAAGGTCTTCAAACTATCAGATCCTCAAGATTTGAACCATAGACCCTGAAACATCCAAATGTTCTCAAACTATAACCCCAAACATTTCTTAAAAGTGAAGCTGCCATTTTGAAAAATAATATGCCTCCTTTCCTTTTATTGTGACCTTTTTTATCATAAATAAAATGAGGCTATACTGGAAATTATGGCCTCATTTGTCCAGTAAAATCTTCCATAGAAAAGAAGAAGAACTGAACTGCTTGTAGAAGCTTAATTACTTTGGCTGTGCTAGATATAAAGAGAAACTAAGAGATTGATTTATAGCTCAAGCATTGCTTTTGCTGAGCCCATAATGCTGTGCTAATTAAAAGTGATTACCTAAGGGAAGTGAAATGTCAAGATGGGAAAAGAATGAACACAGATTGTTATTGGTATAATGTATCCCCTATTTAACCCAGATTGAAAAGAGTACTGCTAATGCATTTGTTCAAAACTGGCCTTTTCCTTGAAGTAAGTCTCATTTATATGTTGATAAATTTGCCAGTAATATTTCGAATGTAGCCTCACTCATGATTTTATCTACCTTAGATAGTTTGCCTCAACCTAGTGCAGAGGTGTCAAATTCACGTCGTCATGGTGGCATCATGTGATGTATCGGGACAAATTTATATTGATAAATTTGCCAGTAATATTTCAAATGTAGCCTCACTCATGATTTTATCTACCTTAGATAGTTTGCCTCAACCTAGTGCAGAGGTGTCAAACTCACGTCGTCATGGCGGCATCATGTGATGTATCGGGACTTTTCCCCCTTTTGCTAAACTGGGTATGGGCATGGCCAACGCGGGAATTTGACAGCCCTGAACGAGTGGCTATAGAAGTGTCATGACAACAACTCCCAAGAATTACCAGACGGCTTTTCTTATGCTGGCTTGGAGCTCTGGAAATCACAGAAGCATATAGCTGAAAGGTTCTTGTTAGCAGGAATCACAATTAGTTAATCACAACAAAACTGCCAAGTTTTCTGGTTGGAGCATTCAGCCTTTTAAACCTTTGCATTAGCTCCCTGTTTATGGATATGCTTTGGAATATTAGCATCTGCCAGGAAGAATGCCTGACTTAATTCCACCATAACTGAGAGATGATTATGGGAGACTATGACTGCTTTCTCTTTTCCTTTAAAAAATACTAATCTAAAATATGACATAGCACCAGCACTTTCTCCCACAAAGAATCAAAATTGCACAGTCTCAGAAATCACCAAATTATGATCTGGAGCAGAGATATACAACCTGGACACCTTGATGTAGTTCTCAAGGTTTCCTCAGACATTTACGTCAAATTGTGTTCTCTACTGTAATAGAATGGAAAATCATTACAGGTACTCCTTGAGTTATGACCACAGTTGAGCCCAAAATTTATGTTGCTAAGTGAAACATTTGTCAAGTGAGTTTGCCCCACTTTACGACTTTTCTTGCCACAGTTATTAAGTGAATCATTGTATGGATTAAGTTAGTAACATGGTTGTTAAGAGAATCTGGATTCCCCATTGACTTAGCTTGTCAGAAGGTGGCAAAGGGTAATCACACAGCCCCAGCACACTGCAACCATCAGAAATATAAACCACTTTAAAAGTCAAGCATTTGAATTTTGATCATGTGACCATGAGGATGCTTCAATGGACATAAGTGTGAAAAATCGTAAGTCACTTTTTTTGGTGCCGTTGTACTTTCGAACAGTCATTAAATCAACTGTTATAAGTTGAGGACTACCTGTAATTACATGGGAACAATTACTTGACTATATGTAAGTTAATTTTAATAAACTGTGAATTAAAGGAAATATATTTGGTTTTTGGCCTGATCCCACTAATTTCCATTTTCTATGTCCCACATTGTCTGGAAGACAGCACCTTAATGTCAACTCATACAATATTTCTATGGTCTTTTTAGAGTTGCCAACAGAAGGGGAGGGGGGAAAGGAGTTTTGAAAGAGCAGTGTGGCAGCTTGGGAATCAAAAGTGCATTCCATAAATAGTTTTTTTAAAGATAGTAACTAGGTGACTGAAGTTTCTGCTGTGCAAATATCTCACTGGAGAACATGATTGATGATTCTTGGCTATGGATGTGCCTCATTGGAGAATATGAATTATGATACATCCAGGGGGTGGGGGAAAACCAGCGTCAAGGGTGACAATGAATTATGTGTCTCAGAGTTGGCTATACCCAGGCAGTGCCAGACATGTTAACTCCCAATAAATCCTTTTTAAGTTTTGGAAGTTTGGCTTGAGACTCATGATTTAATTGGGGTAACTGCCAGAATCCTGACAGAATATGGGTAAAACATAATATCTCGGACCTTAAAGGAAACCTATTTTACTCCTTGATCCTTCATTAATTTTATTGTTATCATTTCTTCAGTGCAGCTAATAAAACAAATATAAGAGCTTTGCAAAAGAATGAAGCTTCTACTACAAATGAAATACCACTCTGATGGGAGTAAATCTCTGCCACAAACATGCAAAACATTTATGTTTTCTTCTCTTTAGGACATTTAGTTAATGCCAGCTCAGATCTGATGAAGTTGGATCATGATGAAGATGATGATGCACAACTAACGGAACCATACCTTTCCAAACAGAAGAAACTTATGGTGAGACAAGCACACGGAGGGTTTTATCATTAGAAATGGAAACACTAAGTTTGGGATGGATATAGATGTTAACTTCAATCTACGTTTCACTAACTATTGGACATTTTCCATGAACTTCCCATTCTCACCCAGAAAGAGATTCCAAAGAGAAGGGCCAATTAATGGTGCTCCAAGGCTGTGAAAAAGGCAGTGGAGTACATGGGGTAAACAATTGGTTCCCTGGGGGCCAACTTAAATTGAGGAGATAGCCAGACTGCCTATTGATTCATCTGCAATAGTCAAAACTCATCAAATTTAATTAAGAACTTGTAATAGAATGAATTGATGCAATGATTATCATGAATAACTTGTATGTGACTCTCACTGCTTTTCCCTGCATTAATAATACTGTATATAATCAAATTAATTAATGTAGCGGATATAATCTATTCATACTTTAGCATGACCCCTGTTTCTTTTATCTTTTAACTTTCATATCACTTCCCCTTAGTAGAAAACAACTTCCCCTTAGTTCTGAAAAAGAACTAAGATAAATACAGGGCCCCCCAACCTATGACCACAATTGAGTCCAAAATGTTTTAGGTCTCTTTGGTAGACACTTTTTATCAAGAGGGATCCATTCTATAACTGCTTTGGCCTACCTGCCATCAGTTCTTCTTGCTGTGTGACTAGCCCACTTCCATTTCCATTTCCATTCTTTTACTCTTTTGATGATATTGTATACGTTTGTTCTCTAGTCCATGTGCAGGTCTTTCTATCTTGTAATGCCTCAACTCACAATTGAGCCCAAAATGTATGTTGTTAAGCGAGACAATTGTTAAGTGAATTTTGCCCCATTTTATGACCTTTCTTGCCATTAAGTGAATCATTGCAGTTTTACATTAGTAAGACAGTTGTTAAGTGAATCTGGCTTCTCCATTGACTTCGCTTGTCAGAGCGTTGCAAAAGGTGACTGTCATAATAAATATGAGTCAGTTGCCAAGCATCTGAATTTTGACCACATGACCAGGGGGATGCTGCAATAGTCGTAGGTGTAAAAAACGGTCATAAGTCACTTTTTGCAGTGCTGTTGCAATTTTGAATGGTCACTAAATGAACTATTGTTAAGTCGAGGACTACCTGTAAAAAGGGGATAGTGGTTGACTACCAAGGCGACAATGGCTTCTGCATCATTAAGAATTGTTTTGAAAAGGGAAAGAGATAGAAAGAATGGAAGAAGTGGCCATGTTAAAATTGTTATCGGGGTATTTTGTTCTCTTGTATTTTTTCTATATAATATTCTATATATTCATTCTATGCTGACAAAAATTGAGAGCAATAATATTTTTTAAAAATCCATACAATCATACATGGAGGAAACTGTTTCAGAAATACTCACTGGAAACTTCAATGCAGTAGCTTGCTAGAAGAAAGCAAAGCATCAGCATAAATTTAAAAAAATGAGGTTTGAGGGTCCTGTCTTTGGGAAAATAGCACTTTTCCATTTGAGTCTCCCAATTTATTTATTTTTTTTCTGGTAGAAAAGGCTGTCCCTTCATTGCATTCCTAGCCTTCAAGACCACAGGTTACAAACTGCCACAAAGAGAGCAGGAATCAGCAGACTAAGTCTAAATCTTTCATTGTTGGATAATTTGCAAACCCAACAAACTCTTTCTATTACAGAATATAAAAAATAAAGCTGTAAAGATTTGCTTTTGCTTTTTTTACAAATCTCCTACATCCAACTGGATAATCATTACTTTGCAAGCTATTTTTTTTTTTTTTTTGTAGTAAGGCCTTTGTTATTTTCATTAGGCCAAAATTCTGGAGCACGACAATGTGAACTATCTGAAGAAAATCCTGGGAGATCTGGGAATGGTGCTAGATCAAATTGAAGCTGAACTGGAGAAGAGAAAAATTGAATATCAAGGTATGCGTTATGTTCATCTGAACATTATTTCCTAGATTCTCTCTGGTGACTTGTAGAAGTTTCTGATACTTGTTTAACTTTATCATCTATACAATTAATATTTGCATCAAATGTAGCTTACTATCTGCAGTGAATCAGTTTGAAATAATCTCGACTTTTCTACACCTCAGTTTTGCCCTGATGTATAAATAGTATTTTCTTAAATTCAAAATATGCACACAGCAATATAGATTACATAGTGATCTGTTAGTGTAATAACTTTTTTATATTTTAATTGCACAAAACTATACAATTAACTAAGCCATGTCCACTTGTGGTAATATAATAATCAACTGACCAATTTATCAATCTTCTTAAAATGAGATTTCACTGGAGACATAAAATGAGATTTAACTGGGACATTATTCTAGGTGTGGTCTGAACAATGAGCAATGCCGAATAGAGAAAGAGATATGATAACACATTTTAATATTTATTTATGAAATTTATTTGGTGCCCATCTTGTATCCAACAAATCTAACCTTGGCTTTTTGCTTTTCTGAAGGTATACTAGGATTCTTTTTTCACAAATACATCACACATTGTTTAATTCCTGTTAAAATTAAAGAATAAATTCTATTCAACATTCCACTTTGTCAAAATATTTCTGAACCTTGACAATATCCTCCCAAGTGTTTCTTATTCCAATAGCACAATTTCCAATCATGTTGTCTGCAAATTTATATTCTATAAATTTATAAATCTATAT